ATGTCAGAGTCAAACCTCAGGAACATCAAAAGCTGACATAAGATATTTAATACACGCTGGATAAAGCCCAAAAGTCCATTGCTCTATACGTGCCCTAAGACCCGTTGGATCCGGGAAATGTTCACTCTCCACTGATCTATACCACTCATATAACGAGTGATAACCTGAAATAATTAATATTCATTCAAAATTAATTATACAATTAATTAACAATCATTGACAATTCAAAATTAATAATCTTGCCTGAAGTTGCCAAGAGATTATGTCTGATGCAAGTTTCAACACCAAGCTCCATTAACAACATAAGAACCAAAGCTGCAGCCAGATGTGCAGAAACATGAAGAACTCCAATCACAATTTTCTTTTTTCGCGACACTTTTGAAGGGACAAATGAGATTGCAGCTACTAATAATAAGATCGAACCCATAGAAGATACATATGATTCTCCAACCATGTACATAAAAATATCCCAAACTGTGCAAAAAAAACTCTTTACATGCCCAGAAAACGTGTCAGCCTGTAGGATATGATCTAGCTTACACTGTCACACACACACAAAAAAAAAATCAGAATGTTTTATTAAAAAAAAATAGAGGAAATAAAAATACGTACAAGTGGAAACATTGAAAAGGTCAATATGAAGTATATGAATCCACCAATGAAGTCAAACTGCCAGTTCTTCTTTCGGAACTTCAATATATTCCCAAGTGCAATCTGCATACCACAATTTTTCATCAAAAAAATAATAATAATAATTTCAATCGAAATCTGTCATAGGAATTGGATTCTAAATACATACACGGCTGGAATCTTGAATGGATGGATACGAGGCTTTATTTTCATATGTCGTTCCATATATTTGTTTAAAATCACTAAACACATGCGTAGGATGCAAAAACGCGCCTCCACACCCATTCACAATCAAATGTTGAACATTCACAGAATTAGGGTTTTCAATTTCAGATGCGACATAAGAATGTCTCATGTAATGATGCAAATCTCCAGCGATTCTAAGTTTACACCTCCCTTTCAAATAATCGCGTGTAAGATGCGACACGTTTTTTCCAGTCACGTCATCCCAATACCAATCAAGTAGCCAATTTGGTTCATGCGTCATAATGATCACCGAATCATTTTCTTTAACCTGTTACACATAAACAATTATTATTGTTATGACTTACGATTATGTTGAATTATAATGGAAATTGGAAAATGGAAAGTACCTGTTTGTGTATTAGCTCTGTGAAGAATTTGAATTGATCACTATCGATGTCTGAATGAAGAGCTAAATCAAGACCAAATACCCACCACCCTTTTGGTAGTTGTAATGCAAAGTAGCTTTTCTTTTGTGGCATTAACCATCCACCTAACCAGCTTTTGTGACAAATGTATCTCATGAATGTTTGAAGCCCATCAAACCAATCTGATGAAAAACCAAAATAACAAGATTTTTTAATTGCTATTTTTGCGTTTAAACCTATCAACACTACAAAGAAAACTGACCATGGTTTCCAGGGATAACAAAACACTGTGGGCCATCATATAGTGTGAGTTCAGACACACCAGAGGGTAATTCAGGCTTATTTACAGCTATATGTTCTTCTTTATACCATGAAGGTGGTTGAAGAGCATACTCAAAAGGACGAAAAAACCGCTTTTCATAAGTGTATGCTGATGGATTAGGATACCTAAATTTTAAAAAAAGATTTGATAAATTATTTGATGTTTATAATTTTTATATAAAACAGAAAAGGTGAGACTTACGCTAAGTCGCCTCCGATAAGAAGAAGGTTCCCACGGGGTAATTTGGTCAAATGACCATCATTCCAAACACAAAGTGAAGGTTGAGCAAGAAGTTTAGCAACAGAATATGAAGAGTTCCCACCATCACCAGTATCAGCCATGAAATCAAACCAAAAGTCTTCCTTTTCACTAAAATGATCATAAAGAAAATCTTCCTGTTTTGCCCCTTCATGCCCACCACTCATTGCTGCCTACAACATGAAACGCAAAATAACAAAATAAAAAGTTATAAAAGTGAAAAGGTAAAAAAAGTGAAAAAGATAGAAAAAAATAGAAAAATCAAGAAACCTGCATCATGCGCATATCAAATCTTCCAACAAATACAGTTACAGATACAAGAAGATCAAAAACTGTCTTGAATAAATCAGCTGATGTCCTGCATTACATGATCAGGTTATCTCTCATATGTGAAAAAGACATGAATGCCCTCCATTGAAAAAGTAAAGAAAGAGGAAAATATTTATACCCAGAGTACCAAGGAACCATATCCAAGAAATTAGGCTTCATTTGTTTGTTCTTCAACTTCTCAGTTTCTTTAACTGAGAGAGGGTGTGTAAGAGCCCATCTGATCATTAATTAACACTATTAATTAAAAAGGAAAAACCAAAAAATAAAAAAATAAAAAAAACTTACCCTGTTGATCTTTCAACAACATAATTAGCAATATAGAGACCAATAAAAGTCGCCCACAATGAATATATTGGAGAAATTTCATCCGATGACTCACATGAACCACTACAAGAAAACTAAAAACAAATGGCAATAAGAACATAAACAGAAAATTAAAAAAAAAAAAAAAAAAAAAAAAGATGGAAATATAAATAGAAAACCAGAAGCATTACTTCTCCATAGATAACCCACTTAGAGAGAAGTGGATAATCACGTGCAGATCCAACTGGAGCAAACCAAGATTTGCATACTTCATCTTTGAATTCATACATTTTTAGAAACTTTGCTAACAATGCATTTCTTTCTCCTTTATTCCAAAGTGAAAAAAACCCAGAGTCTTTTCTTCCAAATGGTCTTTCATTCAATGCATGATTGCCACAGTGGCTATAAAATACACAACAGGCCACACTTAATACCTACACGGATACAAATTCCATGAAAAAAATATAACCAAATATCACATACAGAAATACCCTTCCTTTATACATAAAGAAATTAATCGAATTGGGTATGTATTATGCAACACTTACAGCACAATTTTGGAAAATAGTCAAGAAAGCAGGTCTTCTTCCAGCCACACGAGAAACAAGACCAATATACCAAAGCCCAATGAATACTAAATGAAAAACAAGGAGAACAAAAACAGAGGAGATGAATATTGTCAAAAATAAAGAAAGATTCATCCTCAAATCAACTCCCATTGACTGAAAACTTGGAAGATGGTATAAAGCTGCTACTAATATCCACGCTATATACCTACACAACAACAAATAATCTCAATTACCCTAAAACACATCCATGTAGAATCACTGAATCGGAATGAATCAGGAAATTAGAATTACATTACCATCTACTGAAATTTGATAGCTTGGTTTCATTGTCTTCCCCACAAATGGAGAGGAAAAGAAGTAGAAAAAACCAAGTAAACAGGCGTAGATTGACCACCATTTGATGTTCTTGTCGAGCTTCTGAATCAGTGTATGCATGTTGTCTGATGAAATAAAAAATAAACAGCCCACAACTACTGCGATTATGGCATGGCGTGAATGCTCATGGGGGTAGGGGTATTTATGGGTTAAAATTGTCCGAACTGTTTCCATGTTGATGGTGTCTAGTATACCAGCAGGCTGCTTCTCTGTCCCCATTTTTGACCTTTCGTTTCAAACTCGAAGTCGATTCACAATCGGGGAAGAATCAATCAGATTTACTTCGATACATTAGCTGCATGTTCAAGAGTACAAGTTAATCGGTTTATAGAACACATATATGAAGATCGATTCATGGTATTCTCGCGATTTAACAAGGTAATTTGGGGTTTTTTTATGTTAAGTTGTTAACCAATCGTTTTCGTTATTCCTATTTGTGAAGCAGGGTACTGTTTATTAAAGAAAGCATCTTTTGCATGGTCGCTATTGAGTTGCAAGTTAGGGTAATGTTTTCTTCGAAAAAATCATACTCGTAATGGATAAAATCCCAAAATACAGAGACATGACGAAAGGAATCGAGCACATTTTATTGTCGATTACGCTAGTATGTCGTATATTTTCTGGATTTGATCTTCGAAAGGCATATAGCAGTTGAGAGAAAATGCTTGCTGTCAGAACATCGAAATCATGCATTTCGTCATCATATTCAGAAGAAAACAAACTACTAAGAACAGAAGTAAAGACAAAACTAGGGTTTAGTTAAACCAAAATCTCTGAACAAGGATCAACCGAATTAAAAAAACTGCGAAAGTGTACACATTACATCGTTAGCACACTAAAGCAATCGCATAAAGAAACACAGATTAATAACAAAATGAAGAGAAATTCAGTACCTTAATGAATCCAGAAATAGAAAAGATATGTGTATGCTGGTCAAAAGATGATGAAAAGAAACTGGAGGGTGTTATGAAGGAGCATTACAGAATGTCTGCCAAGAACCAATTTCGAATCAATGGCATATACTTTTTATTATTCGTTTTATAAAAAATAAAAACACACACATACACACATGAACTGCGTGCTTTCTGTAATTTTGATTTTGGAGAGAGAAAGTGGGTCGCCAAATTTTGTATTAAATTTAAAATCAGTAGAAGTTTTGAGAAATATTTGTGATGATAGTGATTGATACGCCGATGAGAAGATCAAAAAGATTGCTTGCGGTGTTGGATCAACGCGTACATGGAAGGTGCGGTTATGGTGGAGCAATTAATAGCCGTTGGATCAGCTGTAGTGACGCTAGCACGTGGCTATACAGTACGACACGTGTTTCACCTTTTGAGCTTTTGTGAACACTTTAATAATATAGGAAGTTGTGACTTATTTCCATGCATTAAATATTCAAATATCAAATATAATACATTAAGCTTTAAATAAGAAAAATAGAGATAATGGTCGGTTCTTTTCATTATTGTTATGGCAAGTTTTAAGGCGTGTCATGATTATTGGGTTATAAATGTATTGTGTTAGAATAATTTTATTTATCGGTTTGAACATGTCCATTCACGGTTTTACTTTTCTAATGTTAGATTATTTATAGTGTACGCATGTATCAATTAGGGTTAATGTTTTGTCGCTCTACCTAGCTCTCACAGTGAAGTTCTTCTTCGAACTCTTCTAGAGCTTTTATAGTCAAAGCATTTGACGTTGTTTTGATCTTTATTCTTGTCATTCAATTCACATTATTTATTATAGAATCTATCGATCTTATTTATTGTTCTACAATTGGTATCGGAGCGGAAGATAGTGTAACCCAGTCATTACTCTTTTGTCGAGTTTGATTAGGGTTTTGTGTTTTTCTTGGATCTGTTCGTAGTCGTCTCAATCGTTTCTATTGATTGTAGACGTCAGATCTTAATCTTTGGTTTTACCCTAAAACTCGAAGTTTCGTTTTACACATCTGATCATATACTCGTGTCTTTGTGAATTTTTGACATCATGCAGCATGAAGATCCTCATACTTTATCAGTTCATCTTTTTAGTAGTATTGGATCCACTACAAAGATTCTAATCCTCTTCCTTCATGATTATGAAGTCTTTGCACTTTGAAGACAATGTTCTAGATATTGAAGAACATGGCTCAACAATATGGCAAATGATGACTCAGGAGACATATTCGTACACTACAACCAGGAAGGTTATCAAGACTCAGGCTGATTACAATACACTTCTTGCTATACACACTAATGTTCATCGGGATGAAAATGATAAGTTGTTGAGCAACATAAAGGCGATGAGAATTATACGGTTTTCTCTTCCACCGGATACCTTTCGTCACATGGGTTCATTTACTACTGCCAAGGAGATATGGGATAGGCTAAAGGAACTTTATTCGAGTAACGTTGATTTAGAACACTCCATGCAGACATTGGTTTTGTCAGAGTTTGGAGCGTTTGCACAAAAATCTAATGAAAAAGTAGATCAGACGTTCAATCGATTTAATCATCTGTTGAGCGGGATGCTTAAGCACAATTTCAGACGTGAAGTAGTTAAACAAAAAGTCACGTTTATGAATGGATTGAGATCTGAGTGGAAAGCTATTATGTAAACTATGAAGGCACATGAACAGTTTAAGAGCTACTAATTGGCAAAGCTTGTGGGAATTCTAAGATCCCATGAAGATGAAGTTATGAAGGATGTGAACATTGTTTATGGCATGGGATCCCTGGCATTGGCGGCGAAGGGAAAGAAGGCAACTGAAGAAGATTTGGAATTTGATCTTTCATATAGTGAGATCTTAAAAGAAGACAAGGCTTTGTTGGTTTCAAACCCAAGAAGTTCTACAATAAATTTTTTCCTCGTTTTCGGAATAAATACAGGCAGGGTGGCAATTCCAGTTCTGAAAAGGCTAAAGATGAGGGTTTCAAAAACTCTCAAACCGATGAAGAGAAAAAAGAGAAAAAGCTTATGGTGATTCAGGCTATGATTGCAATTACTGTCATGACAAGAATCACTTTTCCAAGGAATGCATGCTTAGGAGGATGAATGAGAAGAAAGAATCTGAGAAGGATGAAGCTTACTATCTTCAAAAGATTGACGAGCTTCAGAAGAGGAACGCTTCAAATGCGAATTCGGCATTGATCATGCAGGAGGGAAGTGATGAAGATGGATGAGTCAAGGTATGGTCAACGGACTCGGAAGATGATGATGTAACGACTGATTCCTAGTACGCATTTAATTATAATTTATTCATTTTTGAAGAGTTGCTCGACGAGTTGGGAGCCCCAGACTCGTCAAGTAGAAACGTGATTAGACGCGGGATTTAAGTCGCCTGCTCGACGAGTTGAGAGCCTCGACTCGATGAGCAGGGTTGTCAAGATGAAACCCTAATTTTGGGGTTTTGCACCCTATTTAAGCATTCTAATCCACACTTGATGGCCTCATTTACAACCTCCAAGTTTCAAACCCTAGTTTCAGAAACCCTAATTCATTTGTGAGCTTGTGAGCCATTTTTAAGTGATCCTTGTGTGTTCTTGAAGCTTATGGAAGAAGAGTGAGCTAGAGGATTCAATGAGAAGATAGTAGATCTAGAGACTTCTTTCTATCCTCATCATTTTCTGGTAATCAAGCCTCTAACTTGTCTAGTAGTTTCTTAGATCTTCTTATTTTCACCTTATTGGGTTTTTGGGTCTAAGAAGATTAACCCTTGTGATATGGACGTCCCAAGCAAGGATCCCTTCAGATCTAGAATCATTAAGGGTTGTTATGGCATAAAGGCGCAAACTCTATGCCATTGGAGCCCCCATGCAAGGTCTAAGGTGTTATTTTGGCCTTTTAAGCCCCAAAAGGCCATGCATGGAAGGAAAGTTAGGAGCTTTACGTGTTCAAATGATGTCTAAGGCCTAGATCTATGTTAGTATGCTTTAGTTTAGATTATTATGACTTTTGGACCAAGATCTATGTCCTTGAGAGCTAAAGTTTGAGCTAAACCCATGAAGAAGGGATATTAACGGGTAAAGTTTGAAGTATTACCCTCAAAAGGACATTTATAGGATGCATGAGGAATAAGAAGCTTAAATCCGAAGAGTAAGGGCGTAATCCTTTAAGAAGGCCCAAACAGACTGAAGAACTTATCGAGTCCATAGAGGAACTCGATGAGTTGAGTCGTCATGTCCCGATTCTGTACCAAATAGAACTCGAAGAGTCGGGGGGGGGGGGGGGTGACTCGGCGAGTTGGAACGCGATTTCAGGATTTTTGAGTTATAGAACTCGGCGAGTTGAGTCAATCCAGAATGTTGACTTTGACCAGGGGTAAAATGGACATATTACCCTTAAAAGGATTATCAGTTTTTGACTAAGTGATTATTGTGATAATGATAGCCCGTGAGTCATTGGAGTAGCCATTAGAGATTCCTCACACGAGATTTCAGTAGCCAGCTTTAGAGGTGAGTTTTCCTCCAGTAGGAACATATGCACTTCTATATCTGACTTCTTTCTTAATGATTGAATACTCACCTAAAGTAAGGAGTTCTTTGGAAGTTCTTGATTACCGGGGTATATCGGGAAGTAGGAAACACGTTCTAATACATCTAAATTTGAACTATTTAATAGGTTGTCTGTAGATCTTGCTGCTTAATTTAAGTGGACAGCAATATCATTAGTCGCCGTTAGCTAAATGTCCATTTAGGAATATATATATATATATATATATATATATATATATATATATATATATATATATATATATATCACAATGACTTGTCACTTATAGTCCGTCCAAATTGTCAACATCTTTTGTATTTAAGTGGACCACAATACCGGTGATTGACCAGATCTAGACATGCAGGAGTGTGCTGATAAACAATATTGGATTGCTTGACAACTTTGATCCCAAATATTTTTGTTTTTGTTAAATTTGTTCACAGTTTTTCTCTATGCATAAATTTAAGGGGAGAATTAAAATTAAAAAAATCAAATAAAAAAAAATCAAACAAAAATTAAAAAAATCAAACAAAAATCAGAAAATTCAAAAATCAAACAAAAATCAGAAAATTAAAAATCCAAAAATAGTGTTATTTATGTCTTTATTTTTCTGTTCAAAAAAAAAAAAATATTGTGTGCTAACCTTGTTTTAGTTTTGTTTTTATCTTTTTGTTTTGTTTGTCTTGAAAAGTGAATCAAGGTGTAGATGAGACTTGTGGAGACTGTATTGAAATTTTTTGAGTCGAGGCTTCATCCGTGATCCTCGAAGAATTCGCATTCGAAGGAGCAAGAAATGAAGACTATTCTTCAAACATTCAATCTTTCAACCGCAGAGCAAGGTGAAGTTGTTCTTGAAGATTGTGTGACGGATTGCATTGAAACCTCCTCAATCAGTCTGTTGCTATCTTGAACCTGCTGAAGTGATCTAGAAGATTAATTCTCTCTGTTAGTTCTCTCTGAAGATTCTCAAGCTGAAATCGCTATCTTTCAAGAATCTTTTCAAGAGCCTCCTCACCTAATGTGCGTTCAATGTCAAATTTTGAAGATAAGACCAACTGCTCCAGATGAAGTCACTCATTGAAGATTCATCAAGTTCATCTTGAAGTTGTGAAGAATTTGAAGATAAATGTTGAAGCCAAGCTCACAATGAAGATTAACAAGAAAAGCCAGCTACCTTTTTAAGGGGAGCTTGTTGGGTCATTTAGAAAAGAAAGCTATAAACCAAAGGGAGATTGTTAGGTCAAAAATATGGTTTATACTTTGCTTTTCTAAGCATTTATTGTATTTATTATTTGGGCTGAAAATAGTATTAGATTATTTGTATTTTGAGCTTGGCCTTAGGTCCATATATATATATATATATATATATATATATATATTATATATATATATATATATATATTATATATATATATATATTATATTATATATATATATATATATATATATATATATATATATATAGGGTGAGGAGTGCATGTGAGGGTAAGAAAAGAGCCAATGAGCTTAAGTGTGTGAATTCTAAGGTGTGAGAGAAACTATAGAGAGAAGAGTGTGTGTGAACTATGTGTATGGAGCTTCACTCGTTTCATTGAATACATCATAGATTCATCATCTTCTTCTTATCCTTCTATTCTATTAGATCTGAAATCATCCGTTTGATTGGGATTTCGCACCATTAAACGGATTTGATTGATACACAAGCATATTTGGGGACTTACATTGTTCCAGCTCAATTATTTACCAAAATTACATAAAAGGACCACTTTTTGTAAAAATGACATTCTTGGCCCATTATGTCGAAAATTTTACAATTACAACACATTTTTGGAAAAAAAAATG